GAAGCACATCCCCACCACCTCCCCAGCGAGCCGGGCCAAGCACCTCCCCACCAAGCCTACCGAAGCACCTCCCCACCACCTCCCCACCAACCTGACCGAAGCACCTCCCCACCACCTCCCCACCAACCTGACCGAAGCACCTCCCCACCGAGCCGGCCGAAGCACCTCCCCACCACATCTCCACCGAGCCGGCCGAAGCACCTCCCCACCGAGCCTACCGAAGCACCTCCCCACCGAGCCACCCAAAGCACCTCCCGACCACTTCCCCACCGAGCCGGCCGAAGCACCTCCCCACCACCTCCCCACCGAGCCGGCCGAAGAACCTCCCCACTACCTCCCCACCGAGCCAGCCGAAGAACCTCCCCTCCAGCTCTCCACCGACCCACTGAGGCGACCGAAGCACCTCCCCACCGAGCCTACCGAAGCACCTCCCCACCACCTCCCTACAGAGCCGGCCGTGGCACCTCCCCACCACCTCCCCACCGAGCCTACCGAAGCACCTCCCCACCACCTCCCCACCGAGCCAGCCGAAGCACCTCCCCACCGAGCCGGCCGAAGCACATCCCCACTACCTCCCCACCGAGCCGGCACTCCCCACCACCTCCCCGTCTAGTGTACCGAAGCACCTCCCCACCACCTCTCCACCGAGACGGCCGAAGCAGCTCCCCACCGCCTCCCCACTGAGCCGGCCGAAGCAGCTCCCCACCACCTTCCCACCGAGCCTACCGAAGCACCTCCCCACCACCTCCCCACCGACCTGGCCGAAGCACGTCCCCACCAAGCCGGCCGAAGCACCTCCCCACCAAGCCTACCGAAGCATCTCGCTACCACCTACCACCTCCCCACCGACCTGGCCGAAGCACCTCCCCACCACCTCTCCACCGAGCCGGCCGAAGCACCTCCCCACCGAGCCTACCGAAGAACCTCCCCACCACCTCCCCACCAAGCCACCCGAAGCACCTCCCCACCACTTCCCCACCGACTCGGCCGAAGCACGTCCCCACCACTGCCCCACCGAGCCGGCCGAAGCACTTCCCCACCAACTCCCCACCGAGCCGGCCGAAGCACCTCCCCACCACCTCCCCACCGAGACGGTCGAAGCACCTCCCCACCACCTCTCCACAAGCACTTCCCCACCAACTCCCCACCGAGCCGGCCGAAGCACCTCCCCACCACCTCCCCACCGAGCCGGTCGAAGCACCTCCCCACCACCTCTCCACCGACCCGTCCGAAGCACCTCCCCACCGAGCCGACCGAAGCACCTCCCCACCACCTCCCCACCAAGCCGGCCAAAGCACCTCCCCACCGAGCCTACCGAAGCACCTTGCCACCACCTCCCCATCGACCTGGATGAAGCACCTCCCCATCACCTCCCACTGAGCCGGCCGAAGCATCTCCCCACCGAGCCGGCCGAAGCACCTCCCCAGCGAGCCTACCGAAGCACCTCCCCACCATCTCCCCACCGACCTGGCCGAAGCACCTCCCGATCACCTCCCCACCGAGCCGGCCAAAGCACCTCCCCACGACCTCCCTACCGAGCCGGCCGAGGCACCTCCCCACCACCTTCCCACCGAGCCTACCGAAGCACCTCCCCACCACCTCCCCACCGAGCCG